GCCAAATGAGAATTTTTGAAAAATTTACTGGGGCGCGCTTTCTGACCCCCTCGCCTGAACCCACGTGCGTTGGGCGAAAAATCACGCGTTGCAACTCGTTGATTGAAAATGAATAGGTCAAATTCACGTCATATTTTGAAGTTATTAAAAAATTCACGTCAACTTTGAAGTTATTTCTTCTGGCCAAAAGTTATTTGGGGCGCGTTTTTTGACCCGTTGCCTTGGACCCAAGTGACTTTGGATTCGAGATCACTGATTTTTTCGAACTAGATGCAAAGTTTTGAATTTTGAATGGAATTTTTGAAAAAATTTCAGAATCTCAGAATCTCAGAATCTCAGAATCTCAGAATCTCAGAATCTCAGAATCTCAGAATCTCAGAATCTCAGAATCTCAGAATCTCAGAATCTCAGAATCTCAGAATCTCAGAATCTCAGAATCTCAGAATCTCAGAATCTCAGAATCTCAGAATCTCAGAATCTCAGAATCTCAGAATCTCAGAATCTCAGAATTTCAGAATATCAGAATCTCAGAATCTCAGAATTTCAGAATATCAGAATCTCAGAATCTCAGAATCTCAGAATCTCAGAATCTTAGAATCTCAAAATCTCAGAATCTCAGAATCTCAGAATCTCAGAAAAATCATTTTTTCGTCATTTTTTTGTTTGTTTGTCCTTCTCTTCTCTATTTCTCTGGCACCCTCCTCTTCTTTCGAAACTCTCGCGGTCGTAAAATTTTCTGTGTTGCCCTGTATTGCGAAACAAAATTTGTATTAGTTTTTAACAAATTCACCTTCAAATGTTTCCAAAATCTTGAATTATTTTCAGAATGTCGCTACAAGAAATGCCGGAAAAAGTTTTAAATAATTTGATGAATTTTTTGGACTTTAGAGAGATGTGAGTTTTTAAAAAAGTAATACGATTTTTTGTATTTTCAAAATTAAAAAATTTCCAGACTAACTCTCCGGAATGTGTCTCATAATCTCCGAAACCATATTGACAAGACCAAACCGGATTTTTCGATTATCCTAATTTCCATCCACGCGGATTTCAATAATCAGAAAAACCAAATTTGGCTCAAGACCCAAGACGACGAACATTTACAAGTTGCATATCAAAAAGAAGAAAATGGCACTCAACTTTCCTGGGATCAAAAATCGAAATTTCTGGAAAATGTCAACTATTCCAGTGTATTTTTCAACGATTTTTCAAGGATTCTGGACCATCAAAAATCAGTTTTAACCGAAATAAAAATTGCGGCTCATGTGATTCCGGAAGATTTGAAAAAAGTTTTAAAATCTCGAAAATCTCCAATAAAAGCCAATAAGCTATTGATGGAAACCACTCATCAATCTCAAGTTTTGGAAGTTTTACCATTTATGGATATCGAATTTCTGAAGGAAATCGGAATCTATGAAATTCGGCAAAACACGGTTCAAGAGCTCTGGAAAATCGATAAAATCGTAGAAACTAGTTACTGGAAAAGAGCTGAAATTTTTGAAAGCCTCGGATTCCACGTGGATGTTTCAGTGGAAAATTTCAAGCATTTTTCGAAAGGGACATGGAGTGTGAGCGCGATTTCTGCCGAGGATTTGGACTTTTTGAAAACGGTAACCTTGTTTGTTTTCTTCAGAATATAATTTTTAAATTTTCAGAATTTTCTCCAATTGCCAACATTCAAGTTCTGTGTCATTTATTATCAGATCTTTAAGAACCTGGATCAATTATTAGAACTTTTTGGCGCACCATTTATTATTTACGACTTGGGAAAAGAAAATCAAAAGCGATGGTATTTCAAGTTCCCAGATAATTCTGTTTTGAATATTTTACTAGTCCCATCTATGATTTTTCTGACTCGAATCGAAAAAAATGAAGTTCCGGAAGGAGCGGAAATTGTTGGTTCTGAATAAATGTCTTTGTTGTGATTTTTTGCTTCTTTTTTTAATGGTTGTCGTCACCATAAACAGTTTTCCAATGATTTTTTCTTATCACACTTTATTGTTGACATCACTGATAATTCACTAACATTGAAGTCGACGATTGGCAGAATATTCTGAAAATCAACCTAGAAATGCCAAAAAAGCAGCGATATTCTTTGGCTGATATGCCGGAAAAGGTGATTATGCTGATTTTGGAAAACTCCGATTTTCGATCTATGTGAGTAAAATTTTTTGAACAGTCATTGAAAATATAACATCCTCAAAAGTTAAAAGATGATGTTTTTTTAAATGTATAAACGTGGAGAGTTACAGTCAATTTTTGAAATATTAGAAAAACGGAAAATGTGTAAAAAATACTTCACATAGAAATTTCTCAATGTCAAAATCTGAAATTTTCAAAAATGAAAAATGTTAGAATTTTTGAATTTTAGATTTTTCGAATTTTAGAATTTTGAGGTTTTAGAATTTTAGTATTTTAGCATTTTTATATTTCTTTTCAGCCTGAACCTCCGGAAAGTTTCTTACGACCTGAGGAATTTCATAGACGAGAAAAAACCGGATTTGCAACTGGAAATCATTCAAATTCATATCGACAGTTCTCGAGTCAAAATGTACCTTCATGATTTATCAAAATCCAAACCAGCACAAATCGAATATCTGAAAGACAAAGGAAGATACGAGGAGAAAATTCCAAAAAATCGGAAACCCTGGAAAGCAATTGTTCTAAAATACGAAGACATTCTGGAAACATTTTGCAATGATTTTCAAATAACTTTAAATCTTCAAAACACAAAAATCTTGCAAAGTTTCAGTTTGACTGCCTCTGAAATCCCAGAAGAATTCAAGAAAGTTTTGAAAGCCAATCCTCTGAAAACTGAATGTTTTGCAATTACCACAAGCGGCCCAAATGAAATCCTGGACGTTATCTCTTCTATCGATTCTGGGAATTTGAAAGAAATTTGTTTCTATAACATTGACGAGTTGCCCGAAGAAGTTTGGGATTTTGAAGAAATCGTGAAGCTCGAGCAATGGAAGAATTCAGCAATTCTAGAGATGGTTCAATTTTATGTGCATTTGGAAATTTGGAATTTCTTGCATTTTTCTCAAGCTCATTTTCGAATTTTGGAAATTACTGTAGATGATATTTTCGAATTGAAAAAGGTACCTCTGTTTGCTGGTTTGTCTGAAATTTTTGATTTTTTTTTCAGAATTATCTCCTGATGCCATCTTTCAAATTTGTTCACGTGGAGTACAAAAACCTGATTGGCGAAATTTATGAAATGGGTGCTACAGAGCTTGGAAACCACCAAAAATGGTTGTTCAAGTTTCCAGAAAATTCTGAATTTGTTCTTGAAGTTTCGTTGTCTCCTAAGAATCTATATTTTCGAAAAATTCCAGTTTCCCATGTTCCAGATAGTGCTCTGATTTGAAATTTTCCTCCAAAATTCGCGGAAATAAATTGTCTGAAATTTCGAATTGAAATAAGGAAATATTTATCATTATTTTCAAAAAAACCTCGGAACATCAAACTTGTTTCGTCGGGTAAGTAATATGACTAGAATTAGAATTATTAAATGTACAAAAATTCAAAGCTAATTAATTAATTAACTAATTAACTGAATTCAAAATATTGGTAGGAGATTCTGCTCTTTTGTGATTTCTCGAAATCGGGCCTATCGTAAAAACCGGAGAATTTGGGGTATAATTTTCCAGGTGCGTGGAATTTCGGCGAACAATTTTTTCGGGTATCAGGATACAAATATTTCCTTCTGATGGATGTTGATTGAGGTGACGTTGAAGTTGGGTTGAGTCGATTTTCAGCTCGATCTGTAAACTTTCATTTTTAAGTAATTTCTAAAACTCTAAAACCCTAGCACTCAAAAACTCACCGAACTGGAAGTAGATAATGTGTCATCTTGATTATTATATTCAAATTTGTTTGGTATTTCACTGATCGGAGCAATTTTATGAAAATTCGAAAGTGAATAGATATTTTCCCTTGAATTTTTCCGAGATCTCCTCTCTTGGAATTCCTTCACAGCTTCATCCAATTGTTGTTCCTTCACTTTCTCTGTAGCCTTCTTAGAATACATATACTGACGTCTTCTTCTCGAAACAATGATCCAAAAAATTTTGGAAAAGAATAGGGATAACTCTGTGATAGTGATAACAGACATTCCCAAAAACATTCCCATATTTCCTCCAATATCCGAAAGAACTTGAGTAAACGATGTTGCTTGTACTTGGGAATACGATGTGTAGTACATTTCAGCAAAGAAGATGTTGATGATTGCCAAGTTGTTCTTAATATGAGCTTCCGTTTTGTTACTGAACTTTTTGAGCCATAACAGAGATCCTTGATTGAAACCATCTCCATAAGAATTGTATGATGTGTAGCTTGTGCTTTGGCATTCCATATGACACTCTTCACAGTCTGGAAGCTCCAAATATTCCGATCCATTGACTTTTCGAATCATGTGCTTGTCCATACAAGTTATCGATTCATACGGCGCGCAGATTCGGTGTTCTGAGAATCGGTATTTCAGAAATATAAACAGTTGCTCATTCTCACTTCCATCCACGTTATAGGTAAACGGAGCACATCCACAAGTCTTATTAAAATGCTCAGCGATACACAATGCACGACAGGCAGACGCAGAATAGGACAGTTTAGTTTTGTAACTTGGAGGCCAATTCTCAGAGCAGTTTCCCCATTCTCGTGGGCTTAGCAAGTTGTGCTGTAAAAAGTTAGAAAGTTTGAATTTTGAAACTTTCGAGTTTTTCGAATGTTAGAGGTTCCAGGAATTTCTGAATTTCTGGAATTCTGAAGTTTTGAGTGTTCGAACTTTCGAATTTTTTGATTTTTTGAGTTTCATAGTTTCAGAATTCCAGAATTTCTAGTTTACTGAATACAATGAAAAAAATTTGGACTACTTTTTCAGGACTTCAAATTGGACAAGTCAAAATTCGGTAAATTTTTGCCCAGTACTGTACCTAAGCGAAAGAAAAATTTGACCTACCGACACAGCCTTAATCGCGGAGTACACATTTCTGGATGGCGAAACACTAATGCCTTCAGAAGACAACTCAGCGTTGGCACCTGGCGGGTGCACATAGTATCTGAATCCATTCTCATAAATATTCGAAAATATCGCCGACGCATCTGAATCCTCTCCTCTTAATTCATCTTCCAGCTGAGCGTCAACAATCATCTGAAGTCCCGCTCCCGATCCTGGTGAGATCTGTTTTTTCATCCATTCTGGTGCTAGATTCTGAACATCCAACTCGTAACATTTTCCGAGCGATGTGATTTTTGGTTTCATGTATTTACAGCAATCGAACCTTCTTCCACCGAAATAGCATGTCAAGAACATTTCTCCACAGTCATAACCCGCAGTTCTTAAGAATTTGATGGTCCGAAAGTCGGTATGGTTTTGAAAGTAGGTTTCTGCCTGATCGTGAGTTTTCTTCAAATTATGTCTATCCAGGTTACTGTACAGGAACATTGCGTCCATATTAGTTTGTAACAAATATTCCAATGTTGCTCCTGTCAAGTCTCCAGAAGCGTTCAATTCCCTGACATACGACTTCTTGATAGGGTTGAAACTGCAAACAGTGACGGCTGGAAAATCCATTCCTCCCTCGTTGACAATAAATGAAACTTGAGACAATGTGGGTTTTGAAAAGTACATTTCCAAAAGAAGATACGTTTGAAAACATAACAATGCTAGGGCGGAGCCAACGATAAGAATCCAGAAGGCTCTCGCGAATCTTTTTCCGTAGTATATCCGTTTGGGACCATGCATGGTAGTTGTGCCTGAAAAAATATCATCTTTGATGGATCAGGATTACTGTATGCTTACTTGAAAAATGTTTGGTTTCTCTATCCGCTGAATCCACTGTGTTAATTTTATTTTTATTTGAGTTCTGGGATACAACCAATTGATTTGTGAGCCTGTTTGGTGAGCTCCTGCAAATTCAGAATCTTTTTTCTATTCTATCAAAGTTTGTTTTTGGTTTTTCAACTTATGACCAGCCAAGTACCTTCCTTCGATCTAAACACGTCATTCAAATGACCGGTCAGAATTTTGATTGAAAATTGGTGAGACTGGGTCATTTCTATCAGCCTCTCCCCGTTTTCACACACTATTTTGTCGGGCCCGATGCAGTATAAATATGCAAAAGCGTAGTCGACATTTTCTCTTAATTCTGAGACATTACCTTATTCTGTTTATCTTATTTTTGAGCTCAATTATCTCGGTTGCTATCAGTTATATCAAACATTTATCAACTGGCAATGTGTTGGTAACATTATGAGAAACATTTTGTTTTACAGGTTTTTGATATGTTTTATAGGATCAATTTATCTCATTCCTTGTAACAGATATCAAAAATTGGTCAACTGACAAAATGTTTATAATTTTATCAAGAACATTTTGCCAATTGACCAATTTTTGATATTTTTTGCATGGATTGAGATAAATTGGTTCGAAGTTGACGGTCAGAAAACATTCTAAATTACAGTGCTCGCGTGAAACTACCGTATTCGCTCTAATGAACACTCACCCAAACCGTCAACTTTAAGCTTAATTATCTCGGCTTCTTCGGAAGATATAAAAAATTGTCAACTGATAAATTATTTATCATGATATTACCAATATTTTATCAGTTGTCAACGTTTCCATAGCTTTGACAGGAGCCGAAATAATTGAGCTTAAAATTGACGGTACTTGGAGTATTCTATTCAAGTTCACATTACTGAATTGTTTGATATTTCGACTTTTAAAATTTAAAATTTT